TAAGTTTCGGCGAGGTCGGAAGAGCTTTGCAGCTCCAGAGTCGTCGAAAAGGCGGAATCCAGGTCGGGACGTGGATTCGCGAGAGAAGAACGCTTGCCAGTTCTAGTATGGCGCCCCGGGTTTGCAGGTCCCATGAGTACGAGCAAGAAAAGGAGCCAATTTGGTCACTCGCGTGATTTCATCGGCAATCATCTTTGCCGTCACGGCGATGGGGCCACCGAGAGTTCGAATTGTCTCCGGGACGGTGGCAATTTACATGGCAACCATATTTGATGCTGGTTCCAGTTTGATTCCAGATTCGCTCCATGGTGTGGAAGAATCAAGGAGCTCTTTTCGAGCGAGTTCATCCTTTGCGGTTATTGCAAAGCCGGTCTTTACCCGCTGAACCAACGTGATATTGTTGGCAGCGGTACCGAGTGCCTCTGAGATAGCTGATCTTACGCTAGCTGGTAAAAGGAGCCGGTGGGGGTGGTCGTATACGAGGTGCAGAAACAGTCGTGTGTCGACTGCTGTCCTCTTATTGGCTCCCTTTGCTTTTGGGGCGAGCAGGGCTGCTTTTGTCGTTGATGGCCTAGTGCTATGGCCAAGGCTTGCTCGGGCTACATTCGCCCAAGTTGTCTATTGGGCCGGAGCCTAGGTTGTCGAAGGGTTAGGTACCCTAATTTTATGAGCTCTCTGCGGAGGAGGGATGCTGAGGCGTACAGGGAGAGCTGGTGGAATGCTCACTGGGCCTGATTGTACGAACTGGTCAATGGCCGCTCGAAGGTAGACTTTAATACCGTCTACAAATTCTTTTTCTTCACCAATCGAGAGAGGCGAGAGTGCTGCTTCGACGCTGCTTGTTGCATATGAACATATTGCTAGACGGGCTTTTATTTGCGTCGTGCGACGCTTCTCGGCCTCCATCACTGTTTGCAGCTTCGGAGGATATTCTGGTATTGATGTCGAAGCTGTGCCTTTGGAAGCTGGCACAGCGAATTTTCTTGCAGACTTTTCTGCGTGTTCTGTCATATTCTCTCGGAAGACTTCCTTTCCTTTCCTTGAGGTGCTTGCCTCTGGGGCAAACTCGATAGGGGTGTGGGTCTCGGGACCAATTTTTGCTGACCTGACGGGCTCAGAATCAGTCATCTCTTTGTCGGGAAGGTTTGAAGACTTCCCTTCGATGAAGGCCTCACTCGCAAACATGCTTGAAAGCTTTTGCAGGTGCCCTCGGGCGGACTCTCGCGTTGTCCAACATTGCGTTGGGGAGCTTTTCTCGAACAGGTGGCATGATAAAAATGCCAGCGACTAGATCACAATTTACCGGTAAATGCGACGAGCGTGAGAGGCGGTGGGAGGGGAAAAAGTGAAGATTCGAAAATTCGAATTTCAAAAAATTGTGATTGTGTAGTGAGCTATCACGACTTTAAATAATAGTAAATCACAATGAAATATTTACAACAGTCACTAACGATATATTAATACAAAAAATATGCAGAAAAATCAAATATTTTGATGAAGAAAATTTAAGTAAAATCGATCAAAATAGGAGAGATGATATAGCGGAATGGACCTTAATCTGCAGCAACATCGATTCTAAGACAGGACATAAAGTAGCCGGTAAGAACGCCGCGTTTAAGGAATGGTCAGAATCGTGGACGATCCAGAAGGAGCGACGCTTGGGTCTCCGAGCGCAAGCCAACCCGGATAAGTGGAATGCTGCAAACTTATAAAACGACAAGAAAACAGGTAGACTTATGATGAACTATAGAGAGTCACCTATCCAAATCCACCTGTTAGGAACTGAGGATAGAGGTTACTGGGACACAATGGTTGCCATGGGTTCCGAATTGAGTAATCGAGTAGTAGAAGGTGGGCTCTATGAGACCTAGGTTGCTCTGGTTACTATGATGTATATATGGATTAGACAGAGCCGTAGTAGAGGGCCACGTCTTGTTTTCCGTCTTCCACTGGCCTTGTCTCCGATCCTAGATTCCCTCGTCCTTAGTTCTAGTTACAATCACAAATTTTTACCTTTGACTCTTGCCAACCTCCTCAGATATTTTCCAAGTCACTCAGTAACACTTCCGACGCTACCTTTGGCACCCTCGAGTTTGACACCACCAAAACCTTAGCAGGGTCCAGAGTAGCATTGCCACACAAGAAGCGAGCGCATTGGGCTCAATGCTTACTTATACAGAAGGAACGTGCCAGGAGTAGGAAAACCATGCTGCCAATGTGGATATCCGTCCCAAAATATAAAGCACATGTTGATGTCTTGTCCAAGATGGGCAAAGGGACGAGATGAGCTGCTACGAAAATCGACCACTCGATATTTCGAAGCTATGGTAAATAATGTCAAAGATATGACTAGAATTGCACAGTGGGTTCAAAAGGAAGGATGGCAAGAGCAGTTTCGGATGACCGGGGAAATCGAAGCGTTAATCAGGCGAAGGGAGGAAAATGGATACACAAGACAAGGACGGAATCCACACTGGCAACAACAGTGTGAGTGCACTTCCTAGGGGTAAGACTATAATCGCGCAGAGTCAAGTCAGACAGCTAAGAGAGTTTTTACCGCAAGGTTCACTCCTATGTAAATATAAGAGTTCGTAGACACATGCATGGGCCCCATTTTCATGGATAAGCAGTAGGGTATAATTAATTTGTTTTATTTCCGACGCAGTCTATGTGACGGTAGGCTATTAGGGTAGTGCTTGGTCTTGGTAAGCTAGTGAGTAGATGTGGATGCAAGAGTCGAGAAAGGTAAAGGTGGTCTGGTGGTAAACAATTAGTCACCACATCGTCTCCTATGCTGAAGCGCTAGTGGTAATGTCCTGTATATAGTCTGGTAGACGTGGGAGAATTCTCTCTTCACGCAACGTCTTCTTACATTCTGTACACATATTGTACCACCTCACATCTCTCTTCCTTACAGAAGACCATTTCACTGCTATCCTATAATCCTATTCAATATCCCTTCGTGCCCTACGGAACGTTAGTAGTAAGCTCCCGGAGACCCATAGCGCGCCAAATCGGGCTAAATAAAATCAAAATCAAATACAAAAAATATGAAAAAGCAGATAATTGACAAGAATGTTGGTATGACGAGGGTCGTACACTTTAATTCGATTGACATGATGAAGGCGATGGGGTACTGTAACATATAGTTCGAACAATCGTTTAGAAGAAAATGGAGGATAATTTTAATTCATACATATTATTCAGAGGTTATAGAATTGTTTTCCATCTTACATTCGTAAAAAGCTTTATCTGTATGTTAGAACACAATCAAAAGAATAGGTTAACGCAATGCAACAACCACCAACTCCAAACATCTCCAGCTTGATTAATCATTTTGACAAGGTGTGTTTCAGAAATGGCGGTGTACGGGGCTCATCATGGCATGTTAAGTCACAGGATACCATGAGATAAAGCCTCTACCTTAAGACAATATAAGTGATCATCTGTAAAACAATTAATACGCATAAAACTCTATGACAAGAGATTAATTTTGGTTGTGAATCCTGTTCACTTTTTCTGGGGAGCTACGTGGGACATAGTATTACTATGAAAATATTAACTATAGAGCCATTTTATTACAAGTGAAATACGGGGGACTATTCTCAACACCTGTCAGCGGTGTCCCCTACGAACCTCCAGCTCTCACTGTAGAGTCTGCAGAGCCGAGATTGAGTAACAAAGTCCTCACTTCGAAGAGGATTCCCAATCGCTTTCGCGGTCTGTATCGTCTTCATCTCTCAACACATTCCCCTATCACCATTATCATGAAGCTAACCACGATCAGATCAGATGGTAGGGTCGGAGCTCTACTCATCGCCAAACCTTGATCACGGAGGAAAAGTGTGACGCCCCGACATTTCAGTGGCCACGTGGCCGTCGGTTCAATAGTTGGTAAGCCGACACAGGGTCAATCCAGGAATTCCAACGACTAGTTTCACACACACGAGTCTTGTGTGTGAAAAATCACGATACGAAAGGTTTGTCATGGATATTGGTTTTCATGTGAAACCCTTGGGTTGCAGGCAATGAGGGACAGGAGGTTTCGTGTAGGCAACTCTATTTCAACAGTTGAACTCTTATGTAAATATATACAGATTCATATCCTCCTAGATACTTTTCTCTTTAGTTTAGAATCTTATGATTTGAGTCCACGCCAGCTTTTGACCACTCGCCAATCGTCTTTTGTCCCTTGAGTCCCCACAAAAAGCCATCCGATGAGTTTCCGGAGCGTACCCAGCACCCGATACGGAGATGGTGGATTGGATCAAGTCGACCTCAACTGTTACAAAGAAGGGAGACATAGATGAATATGCGCACCTCATGTGGTCCCGGTGTCTAGGCCTCGCCTGGCTGGGGCTGCAGGATTTTTGAGACTTTTTCCCGCGCACGCAGTTTCCATTGCTACCATTTTTATTTTTTTTGGGTAGAAGGTTCCGTGGAAAAGGTGGCTGAATTCCACGGGTAAATACTGAGCTGAATGGCTATTCATCAAGGGGAATATATCAATGATCTTCCAAGTAACAAAAGAGGATAGGAGCACTGTACAAGGTGTGGCCTGGGTCAGAGAGGAGCCCAATGTGCTAGATAGTCATAGACTCAAGTAGCACAATAAACACAAACACACACACACAAGTGAAATACCTTCGTAGTCATAGACTCAGGAGGGACTTATGATTAATTTTATTCTATTACGTTTAAGCTCTAAGCACGATTTTAAAAATATTGTCTGTCATAACACGCTTCACATGAGAAGGTGGAAGTGCTATTCATAGATACCTTTTTTGATGGACTTACTAGGGAGAAAATACAGTGTGGGCAAAGAAATAATAATTCAACACGAGTCGTACATAATATTTAAAATTTTCTGCATTTATCAACTATTAATTTTAGTTATCAGCTTTGACTAACCTATCTCGTGATTTTGAATGATTTAACCGTTTTAATGAGTAGAAGATAAACTTCTGACCCATTTCTAAAAGCTAAAGCTGTGACCGTCATTAAACTAAGTACTTCATCAACCCGCCAAAAAGGGCGTCATTGCCAAAGTATGGCCCATAATTATCAATCCCATCTCTGCTTGAAAAATTGTTCTGTTCTAAACTAAGTGATGGGTCAATATTTCTAGAAAGTAGACTAGAAGATGGGTAAGCAGGATTAGTTAACTCATTAAAGCCTGAGAAACTTTCTTGTGGCAACTGCTGTCGCCCATTCGCCGGAGCAGGATATTTTCTGACATTGATAGAGCTAGATTGTTCCCCAGAATTACTTGCAGCTACTTCACTGAGGAGATGTAAGGGCGTATTTGCTGTACTGTAGGATGGCTGCTTCAGGCTAGTTGATCTTCTAGTCCGTAATAATTTATCTGTTGAGTTTTTGAGGTGCCCGTCTAATGGAGATGGTTGCTTTCTATCACTCTGAAGGCTCAATTGTTGATTTATTTTTTCTTTTTGATGATGAAACCATGTTTTGAGTATGACTAATGCTGCTAAAAACTTAGCGGAGGATTGAGATTTATTTTCTACAGATGCAGCCCTGAGTACATCGATTAATTCGTTTATGTAGCGTTCGATCATGAAGTCATTTTGGCTGATTGAGTTTCCTGATGTGCTTTTTGAGCTAGTATGAACAAAATATACTTTAATCAATACAGTGATAGCGTACGCTACCTGTACAAGTTTTGCCACGGGTAAAGCCCGAATTGTTTCAGTATCTAAACTAATAAATATCTCAAGAATTCTTTCAATTGATTTTAAACAATCCGAAAAGGTATCTATTCGAGTAAAATCGAGAGAGGTTTTATTTCGTTTTCCACTCAACTTCTCACAAGCCTCTTTGTTGCGGTTAATTTTTACCTGCTCTATAGTTCTATCAAATTGTAGAGCAACTTCATGCACGTATAGATCGACAACGTGCTCGGTCAATTTTAAAATCGCTAAAGCTTTTTAGTTGGATTATTTCATGTTTCGAATCTAAACTCACGAGTCATTGTAATTTTTTTTGATTCTAGAATCCACTTTTTCAAATCACGCTCAAACCTTTTGAGCAGTTGTTGTACTTCGGATTCTGATAAATGCGCAGATTCCTCAAGATTATCCGTTGAAAAATCGATACTCACCTCTTCCACAATATGTTGGGCTTTAATAAACTGGCATAAAATTTTATCTGATAGATACGCATCAGAGGAGTTTTCGAGAATGTCTATGGAATCGGCGATAAACGAGCTCCAACAAATTATATTTGGGCGACGAAGGGTTGTTGATGCCGAGCAGCAAAGCCAATAACAGCCAAGCCAGGCTCTTCTAGCTTCCAATGTCTCTGCAAAAGGTTTAGGCTTCTGATTGTGTAGCTGTTCTCGGGTTAAGCCAGTTTCATCTATGGCTAGAGCCTTGTTTATTTTTCCCATCCCTATGTCAATAGCCATTACAGCCGCAATATGAATCAGTTGGTAAAACTTCAGTTCCTCGTATTTCTCTGAAGGCCAGTACCATAATGTACTAACCTGTAAAGCTTGAATTAATTCAAGGGATTTTTCGCCTTGAAAAATGATGCGCTCAGCAAATATACTCATAATTTCTTTTGTAAGGGCCTGTTGAACTCTTGGATAGATCAAACCAGAGCTTGCGCTGAGGATAGCAAGAAAAAGGATTGGAGTTGACATGCGAACTCTTTCGCTTGTTGTCCCGGGAGGGAAGACAACTATAGGCATCTGAGGAGCCATTTTATAAATATAGCAATCAAAAATTTTGTTTGCCAAATCCAAGGTGATAAGACCTCTGTCGATAACATCTTTATACTTGTAGTTCGGCGGACCCATTAAATTTCTATCGGGCCAAGGATCCGTAAGACCGTCACGGTTTGCAGGAATACTTGAAGCCGGAGTGGGTGAGTCGGGCTGGTTTGCATACATTTCAGCGACCTTTCGTTTCCGATCCACGGTTGGTTGGGGTATATTTTGATAGGCTACGAGCAGATTGTTTCTGGCTGCTTCCTCAGCGTAGAATTCGGGTTTACAGGCATATGGAGAGCCATACTGTCCACTTATTATCTGTTGTTGTCGTAAATTAAGCTGAGGGGATGCAGGTGTTGAGAAGTGCTCGTGAGTGTGCTGATTCTCACCATTCTGGTTTGCATGAGAATGGCTGCCGGTCCTCTGAGCTGCAAGAGTTGCCGTTAATGCGTCGATCTTCTTTTCCAACTCTGCCACACGACTGTCGGTTTTTTTGCGTCTCTTGCGACTTGGGGCTGTTACGATACAATTGCGATTGGCCTTTGCGCATCTCTTACAGGGCGCATCTGGATTGCTCAGATCAGGGTCGCATCTAACTTTAAGTCCTCTGCATGCTTCACAGGCACGCGAACGTTTGGGGTCATTAAAAGTATCGTCAAGATTTTCCTCATCTTGAGGGCTCTCTAGAGCAGTTAGAGAACTGGTTTGTAATTGATGCAAGTTCAGTTGCTGCAAGAAAGGTGAAGGAGAGTTGTATTCAGACGCACGAGATGGCAGATTTTCTGGAGTAGCAATAGGGGAGCAGGACTTAAACGGTGATGCAGATGCAATGCTTCGGAGCAAGGGATCTATCGAGGCGTCAGAGTTAGACATTGTCGCCGAAACGGAGCGTACAGATGCCGTCTCAATCGGAAATTCGGAGCTTGTAAAGGTCCTGCCCTGCCAAAAAATATGTATGCCTTAACATGTGACACGATAAAAGCTTTGATCCCGTGAGTATGAAGAGGCCGGATCATTGAATAAAGTTGTGCCTGACCTATTCAGACGCGCTACCAACACTATACCTTGCCGGCAAAGACAAATTCTTCACCTTCCAGTGGTGCCGGTGTAATCTCTCAGTATGCTCTGCATATCTGGGATAGCCAAGAAGAATCGCATCCGAATCGAAGTCGTAAGCAACCTTATACACGTCTCCATTCGACAACTTCTCGACAATGCCTCTCTCATCATTATCATCTGAGCCCTCAACCCATCTCTAACCACGCATCATCTCGCCTCAACGACCAATAGAGAAGTTGCTCCAATTGCATACAGGAGCTTGCCCCATTAAACTCCATCCATCACTCACTACATATTTACGACGCTATTTATACCCGCAAGGAGGAAATCAAGTCGAAAAATACAAAGCCTGGGTCCTGGCTTATGGGGGACTGCTGCTCTAATGGGACAAACAACTTGAGGAAGAACAGGCGGCTGAGGTGTGGAGCGAGAGGGGGAACAGGTCTCTGATGACCATGCTGGGCTGATATGTTCGAGGAGTTTTCAACTTTGCATTTTTTGTGGGCGCCAAGACCGAGGTTTCGGCTAATTAGCCAGGAAGGCTTCTTTTGTCGATGAGTCAACGGCACTCCCCAGCGCCCTGGACGGTACAAAAGAAGCTGGGCTAAGCTAGTATACAGCAATCACGCTCTGTCAAGACTTTACTGACATCTAAGCACGAGCTTGGGGAAGGAGTTGGAAGGAGGCTAGAAAGGCAGATTGTGAATTTCCCGAGGTACCCACAAGTCTGCAGCGCCCAGCTGGCCGGCCTCTTCGAACGCTTCGGAAGGGGCACTACGTCTTCGGATCTAGTTCTAATGTCGGTATTAGGAGAGCCCCGCATCAAGTGGTTTTTTGGCGATTTTTCCCAGCTGCCATACACCCGCAAATGGCCATCGTTTCGTTGGCTGGAGAGGGGAGATAATGAAGGGCAAAGGGCTTCTCTAAGTGAATGATCGAATGAGGACTTGTGAGGGGTGGTACTGTTCGAGGGGAACTGTATGGGAGGCATAGGGGGGGATATTCCACTGGTATAGGTATCCTTGGCCTGTAGGCAGAGAGGACCTGCATGTCCTATATAGTCATAGACTCAGACAGGACAATAAAATGAATTAATAAAAACACTATACCTTTCCTGATATGGAAATACATACTTAAACCATCCAACGGTAGTGATCCATGAAAACAGGTGCGACTTACATTCTCAGTAACAAGAATCAATAAAATCCCGGAATACACACGATATCGATGTAAGAAAATTCGATAAAAAACTACGCACTATCCAGACCATCTGTTTCTCGGGACTTAAATTGACTTATCCAGTTTAGGTAGCCTGTGAGGTCATGCAGATCTCTAAAGCTTTCAGGTTCACAAAGTATGAAACCAGTTAGTTAGAATCCCACAATCTGGCTTGTCCTCTGTCCCTCCATTTCTAGGGTTTCTCTAAGGAGTGCGACTTCACTGTCCATCAATTATTGATGCCGTCTTACATCTTTAATCTTCAGAGTATATATATTTATAACAATCCTACCGTCTAAAGTCCGTACTGGTGTATCGGTAACATTTCCGCCTCTCACAATGTTCGCGGTAGCGCAGGGTTCGACTCCCTGGTACGGAAGAGCACGCAGTTCGACTCTTCGTGTCCCTTTTGAGAATTGCACTGGCCGAGAGGTAGGTAAAAACTTTCCTCGGCCCATTGCATCACTTGTGGTTTCGAGTGTCGTTCACCACGCTTTCACAGGGTTTCAAGGACATTTGTTGACCACTCATAACATATACGTTTGCCGAATTCGAATTCGCCACGTCTATGTGCGTAGGGTTTTACAGCTGATATTAAGACTTGTGTTTGGTTGGATGGTGTGGTGGTACACCAGTCGGGCAGTTCGCCCAAGTAGAAAAGAATTCAATTTGAGTCCCTATTGAGTCTGTGTCTATGAAGGAATGCTGATACTATGAACAGCTCTAAATCTTAATTGAAAAATGAATGAATGAAAGTTTGTTCGCGACTGGCACAAGCCCTGCACTCAAAGAGCATGACACGGAGAAGACTAGCTTCTCCGACGACTACATACGATAATAACTCAGTTTGACATTTGGACTATTCTTGTAGTGGGTGCGTTCGCTGATACCACTTGAGACCTTGGTGCTAAGGTCTTTCACCCTTCCCTCAACCGTTAATATCCACCAAAGGTAAAACAGGAAAACCCTTTGGCTACCCTAACATGCCTTTGCCATCTTGTATATAGCCGCCGCGCGAGATATGGCCTCACAGTCCTCCATTTCTCGAGTGAGGTAGTTGTCCAGACTACCTAGACTTTAATTCGGGGAGATGACGACCAGGAGGCGGACCAAAACACCTTCTATCGTTGCCTATTTTTAAAGTGTCGGTTGCACTATCCAAAATCGTTACTTCTGCACTCACAGACACCCTTAACTCGAAGACACTCGAAAAATGTGCGTCCCAGCATGCCCATTTGTGACCTCTTCACTCGTTCGTCCCACGTCCTAGCTGCCTGTCCTCCCCAAAGATGTGAAGCCCCACTAGCGTAACTGTCCCCCATAGAACAAGACCCGAGCTTTGTAGATTATGACTTAGTTTCTTCCTCTCGAGTATACATAGCATCGTAAATGTGTAATGGGAGATGGCCGGCTTTTGATGGGGCAAATACTCGATTGCAATTGAAGTGACGCCATTATCGGTATTTGAGGCGAGGTAGTATAGTAAGATTGAGGTGGAGAACTCGCATGAGAATGATAGACCCGACATTGACGAGAAGTCGTCGATTTTAGATGTGCTTGTGAGAGCTCTCAACTTCGATTTGGATTTGGATTCGATTCTTCTTGGCTATCCCAGATATGCAGAGCATACTGAGCGATTACACCGGCACCACTGGAAGGTGAAGAATTCGTCTTTGCCGGCGGAGTCGTTAGAGATTTGATTTGAATTCATGTCGTATCAGGCTTACGCCCTACACCCAATAGGCGTGATACGAGTCTATGCTCCCTGGGGACACATTACAACCTAAATACATAGTTTGCTTGTCAAATCTATACGCAAAATATAAATAATAAGTTAATTACAAGAAAAATAAGTGTTGGGGCTAGGCATCCTTGAAGAGGTTTCAAGGAAAAGGTTCTCAGGAAAAGGTGATAGGAGAAGGTTTTAAGAAAGTTTTCGAGAAAACTCAGACAATTAGAGATGGATGGGCTGGCGTCATGACTACATCTGCCAGAGTCTCAGTTGGGTTCTAGTACTGTCTCGAGTTCGACTTAAGGAAGCTGGAGCTGCCACAAAGTAGCTCTCCAGCTTCTCAATCTTTTGATCTTTAATCTCACAATCTAGCATTTATGTAATATTGTAATCTTATATTCTCACGGTCCGATATTCTCAGTCCCTCATTTTTCGTTCTTCTGTTGACCCTAAGTTATCAGACTTGATCGCTTGCTCAGCAACTCGACTTCTTGACTTCGTATCTCTCGACTATCCACTAGTTCTCTGTCTCTTCACCACAACGCACCTTGCCAGTTGAATTGTATCTGGGTATCCTTTGTTAGCAGCTATAATTCTAAAAGTTATTAATATATTACCTTCGGTAGACGGCGATCTCCAATATCCTTAGCTCACGGTAACAATAAGCGTCCTGCGCCTTTCCTCCCTCGCAATCTTTTGTCCTAAAAAAAATCTTTTCCGGCAGAACTTAATCCTCCCGGTGTGGTATTTGCCTCTTGCAACACTTAGTAATTGTTAGGAACTTAGGAAATATTTTCCAACCCTTTTCTGCCAGCATCTCCCGTCCTCTAAGTGGCGGTTCATGCTTCAAGTTTCTCCATTGCTGTAGAGCAATCCGGCATTCGGCAAAATGCTAAGAATCATTGGGGATGATGTCGATGGTTTACATGGATGGCACTTTAGTGTATTTTCATTATTTTTTGCATCAGATTTTAATTGCGTATGCAGCTGTCTAGCTATGATACAATATTAGAGAACTGTTTGATAGATGACTCAATTTAAAAGTAGAGCACTAATGCTTCAGATTTCATTCGCAAGTACCACTGCGAGGTTATGGTGGCTTTTTCTTCACCCCAAGTCAATCCTCATCCGTGAATGACCACTAAGGGGAACGTCTCAAAACCCCTGAGTTATCCAGAAATGCCTCCATGACCCATTTTATTTTCTCCGTGCGAAATGTAATCTGAGATGTCTCCTTCCCAAGTGGAGTAGGTGCCCAGGCTACTCAAACTATACCAGAGAACACCACCAGGAGGCGAACCACGACACCTTCCATCGTTTGCTTGTGTTTATAGTGTTAGCTGCACTCTCGCAATCGAAGTCTTGGCGCGCACAAAGCCCAATTCGTAATACTCATTGGCAATTTCGGAATTTCACGCCCTTCGACGTTAGATTCTTCCTTTGCATCATCTTGTCAAATTGTCCTGATCACTCTCACGTCCATCCCAAAGAACTGTCTCCCAGATTTGTGCACCACGCTTTGCTTCCTCCGTTGGGTGTAAATATCAGCATGGGCGTGTATTTGGCGACTAGCTGAGGCCAGAGAAAGTCTACAAGAAGTGTGTTCGTTAGGGTGAGGATGTAATTGGTCGTACTTGTAGACTTGATGAGGCTTGGATAGGATTCGGACTCTTTGGGAGTGAAAATCTGACGTGGTGGAGTATTTTGAATTATTGCCACGTGGGCCAACTTTTTTGATATCGCGACATTTGACTGAACTTGGCGCTGGGAGAATATTTCACTCCCAGGTTCGTAGAGGACACCGCGTACAGTTGTTCAGTCTTGCCCTCCGCACTTTAGTGTATCTGCGCTTCATGAAGAACATATGTGAAAACTAAAGACAATAAGCACAAAGGTCTGGGGGTTTTAAAACATAGATGTTTCCTCCCGTACAAATAATGTAGATTGTAGACACCAGCATGAGCCCACAGGGCGCCAAATCGGTTGAAATGAATTCAAATTCAATTATCAGATTATTCACACATGGGCTTTCATCCCTTGTTGGTCCTTTTACACAAAATTTCGGTTATCTCCGCATTGTTCGCCGCAGGGTCATTGCAGTCTAAATTGTCGGAAACGCGTCATCGCGAGTAACCTACATCATTTAACGCCTTAGGTGCAAGGAACCACAGTTATCTCACCTAAGCTTTCCTCTCGAGCCAGCTACGAAACAAAGATGCGAATTATCCGTGGTATGCGATCGAAAAGAGTGTATCTGGCTTATCCCAACCAACTGGAATTTCAGGTATTGAGTTGGGGGAATATCTTTAATCCGTTCTATCTCTTGGTTTGGCTCAACTGATAACGTCAAGCACATTAACATAATGATATCCGTCCCGAGCCGTGAACTAGATCATTAAAGCTATGCTAGAATATAGGACTCAAGGCTACAATGGATACGCAATTAAATATTCACCATTCTTTGACAACCGCCTGGCAGCTGCGACGGCTGCCAACTTTGGTCTCGTTGGGAATGGCCGTCTGTACATTCTACGATTAACTGATAAGGGAATTATTCACGAGAAATGGTCCTTACTCTCTATGTCTGCATAGAGATATGTCTTGATTGCTGACGATTCTTTCTCTAGGTTTGACACCCAAGACTCTATCTATGACACGGCATGGTCAGAAATCCACGAAAATCAACTTCTTGCGGCCTGTGGAGATGGATCAGTCAAGCTATTTGATACTTTGGCGCCAGATTTTCCAGTCCAGAACTTTCATGAGCATAACAAGGAAGTCTATGCAGTTAGTTGGAATCAAGTTACCAAGGATACTTTCCTTTCTAGTTCATGGGATGGCACCATAAAAATCGTGAGTTTTCACTTATTTTACCCTAGTTTACGATAAAAAATCAAAACCAAACCTAACATTAGCTATCAGTGGTCACCGAATCGACCTCAATCGCTTTTGACCCTACCAACTCACTCCTGTACCTACAGCAGTACTTTCTCTCCACATTCGCCTTCGATTGTTTCAAGTGTTTCTTCGGATTCTCATCTCCGAATATTTGACCTACGCACATCACCTTCTTCCTCGAATCATCTCGTAACCCTCATACCTATTCATACCTCTACTGCTCCTAATTCTCTAATTTCAAGTATTTCCAACCCTAGCGAATGTCTAACCCACGACTGGAATAAGTACAACGGCTCAGTTATCGCTACAGGTGGAGTCGACCAAGTAATTCGAACTTTTGATTTGAAAGCTCCAAAATCAGGTCCAGTAATGGTAATGCGAGGCCATAGATACGCTATCAGAAAATTAGCATGGTCCCCACACGTAAGTGATATTATCATAAGTGGGAGCTATGATATGAGTGTTCGAATATGGAGTGACAAGATAGGCGAGATCGGCGTCATGATGAACCACACTGAGTTTGCCACAGGTGTTGACTGGTGCCTCTTTGGGGCTGAAGGTTGGTGTGCTAGTACTGCATGGGATGAGCGCATTCTCGTTTGGGATGTAAAGAGTTTCATCCCCCCACAGTATTCTCACCGTTTTTCCGCATGATGATAAAGAGATATAAAAATAATTATGTGAAAATTTTGAATGGTAGATGTTTCATCTAGAAATTTCATCTGGCCTAGAGCACACACCACTACCCAATTTAACAAACTTCTCTTGGAGAATCTTAAAATTGAAGAATTCCTTCCGACTTTTAAGCCAAAATTTGAACAGTCTTTACCTGCTCATTTCACCATCTCCACCGTTATCATCATAAGTCTGGCATGACTATAAACAATTATTTTTTACACTGACTGCGCTTACGAATCACAGGAGAAGATAGCGAGTAACCATATTATCTTCGCATTTTTATTCGTCGAGCGCTTTAATTACATTCTCTCCATTTATTTGACTGGGATATCACGTGGCTAGGCTAAACCTCTACTTCTTGACAAAGATGATTCCTAAAACATGAGTGGCTACTTCATACACTGGTCCTGATACGTTATCATCAGTTCCTCGGATTTTTGCAGGGGATTACACTCTTTATCCCGTCAAATTCTGTCAATGGGAGAACTCGATAGCTATATTTTGCTCCTACATACTCGAGGCATCTTTACTTAAAAAAGAGCCACGCAAAATGTGACAACTCTTGCGAAATTAGAATTGGTCATGACTCTTATCTAATGATATTGGGAAATAGGATATTAGATATTTGCATAGGCGACCGATCTAGATGGTAATCCTCAAATTTTTCCAGCTCAACAACCAAATAATGTTATTACTGGTGTCTAAGAATTTCTTTCATACAAATTAATGATCTAATCTAATAAAACAATACCTGCGCTCACCTGAGGCTGAATCATTTTTGAATTTGTAGGAAGTGGTGATGACATGAGGGCTGCTTAAATTACGAAACAAAAATCTAATTCCTAGAATTCGGTGTGAATAAAGTTATCATTACTCTCCAGCTTACCTTTAAATTATTTTATGTGCATTAGGCTTTCTAAGTACCTCACGTGAACAGCGTTATAAATACATTTCAAATGGCTCTTCTGACTCCAAAGGTAAACTTACTTTGAATTTCATTCGCAGATAACACTATCAGGTCTGCTATAACACACTAAAAAGTCGATCTTTATCAGCTAGTACTTACCAAAGGGAAGTTTCAAAACCTTCGATTATCCAAGTATGCCTTTGTCGTCTGGGCATACAAGTACCGGGACAAATGTGATAAAGCCTTATCGGATTTGAATCAATTATCTCATATGGTATAAGTGTCCATGCCAACTAGGCTTTACTCGGGATACCAGCGCAGATTATGTTCAATTTCACCATTCACTCATGATGGTGTTTGCTGCCTCGCCTATACCCTCGCAAGTGAAACCGTGTAGTGCACAACTTGTTTGAGATAAACCACGCCAGCGTCTACAAGAAATATATTCTGTTGGAAACGGAGACACGGAGTGTTGTGGACGTACGGGCCCTCCATTCCGCCTAGGTTCCTCACACGATCTTTTTTGTGTTAAAGAGGTTGGAATTGGTAATATGGTAGCGCTTCAGGCTACTCATTGGATGCATGAGCGGCTGTTTAGTGTGGGCATAAGGAGGTTATTGGATGGCTTTCTATGCCAAGATGGCGCCACACTCGTTTATGCTGTGGCTTAGGCTACGTATCGCTTACACTTGTGCTTGTAACGCACACCTCCCACTCCTTTAGCTGTAATACGAACATGACACTCTTTTAGTAAACTTTTACTATCGTTCCATGAAAATTACGTCCATTTCATTGCGCGATATTTTCAACATATTCTATATCACAAGCTACATTCTCGGTTGTGTAGGTTAATAGGTTTGCCAAACATTCGAAAGTTGCTTTGACTTGTGTATAACATAGGGACACTTCAATGGAGATTATATGTTTCCAACGTCCATACCTGTAAGCATATAGACACGCACGGAATAGCGAGGCAAGTTAATCCGACTCTTCTATAGAGTCTAGGTGTAGTAAGATGACGTGAGAATCTCCTATGTAAATAAATAAAAAGTGGTTGGGGATGAAATGTTGAAGGGGGCAGGCCCTATTGTTCTGATTAGTTCCTAGTCAACAGTATCTAACTTAATATTTTTGCGGTGCAAGCCACTGTTTCAACTATTTATGAAGTCATAGTGGAAGATGTGAGAAATTTTGATCTTGTGCGGTCTCTCGCTTATTGAAGTTTTTAAGTAAAGTGGTGTCAGCTCACAAAATATCCGTTAGGTCTTGTATTAGCCAGCTTAGTTTGCATGAGCTACCTGATATGATGTTTTTTAATATTAAATTTGTAAAACTTGGAGAGGTCTTCGTGTGAATGTCACGTGAGTAGTCAAGTGAATCGTCAAAAGATGAAAGCGAATACAAGAATGAATTGATTAATGTTCTCCGTGCTACGGTGGACTCGTAGCACTATAATATCTAGTTCTACCCTATTGACGCCCCTGATCATCATCACTAGCCTGACATATGGCAATTTTGCCAAGTATCACAAGAAGTTTCACCACGAAGGAATAGACCTTATGTACAAATGTGGCCGAGAAAGACGCCCGTGGCATTTCTCTGAATGCTGGACAGCGCTAAATGAATGGCGAAAAACAACAAAGGAAACAGCATCAAGTATATGGACAATGTTGGGAGAAAAGGGATGGATAGCTTTTTATAGATTACTTACCCTAACAGGATGCTACGGGGTGCAAAGTAGGACTTGAATTACCGAAGTTTTCTGGGATACATATAGTACAGGAAACTGCTGTGAGATAGCTGGCTAGGCGCAGGGCGTTAAGTTAGGGCAGCAAAAGTTTTTGGTGAAAATTTTGTCTTTATTAGATCATGTAAATTTCTGGCAACATAAAGCCAGCATCAGTGGTGTTTGTGGGTCTCCAAGGGAACACGCACCCGTGTCAAGCCTCCTGGGTGTAGTGCTTTAGCCTGATACGTTAAATTATTCAATTCAACACTAGTCTGACATGGCTGCACGCAGATCGTGCTTTCGCTTTTGGACTGGATCCAGACTTATGCAAGCATAAGACTGCTTACAAAATTACCATGGTGCCACGGTATCAAGTTTGCAATGGGGCTTTGGCAGGGTTTTTAGCGTGTAAACTAAGACACCTTAGGCATAGTCACCTTCCATATTGGAGTTAGCCCCCGTATTTGTGCAAATTTTTGAAAAGTTTTGTATGGCAGTTTTTATCAGGACACCATAGTTTGTAGTGGGTCTTTCCTTCGTACTAAACCTAATTTGTATAATGATCGGCTGCATGACATTTGTGCAATTTTGCTACTTGACTTATAACTTATTTACAAGAGTTCAAAGGTTTTCAAATTACAAAATAGAGCCAGCCTTATCCTAACCTTAGATCTGAACATGTGGCTGGAATATTTTCAGGCCTTAATTTCTGGTCGGTCCCCCATCCGCATCTACCACAGCCTGACATCTTGCTGCCATACTCTGAATGAGTCTCACAAGATCTTCGGAAGACATGGAATCCCATGCCTCCTTTACTATGTTGCGAAGACTATCTTGAGTTCGCTGCTTTCCGCAACCCAGATTCGGATGATGACGCTGGATATAATCGTTCATCTTATTCCAAACAGCTTCAGTTGGGTTAAGATCAGGCGAGTTGACCGGCCAGAAAATCGGTTGAATGAGCGTCTGGCTCATATCTTCCATTGTTATTGCGGCGGTGTGGGCAGGAGCATTATCCTGCATTACGGAAAGCTAAGGTCTCATCGAGACCATGCCATCGATAAGAGGAACTATCTTCTCGCAATGTTTTTGGGAGTTAAAGGAACCCCGTTTCTTCTCCCAAAACAAACAAGGGCCTTTTTCTGGCCCTGCGAAGCAGCCCCAGAACATCCATCCGACCCTGTTCTTCGATTTTTCTCCAACACAATCAGCGTTGTATTCTTGGGAAGTCTAGCTCATAATGTTAGAGCATCAAATTACCATCTTCTTATTGAGGAATATACGAACACTTCTTGTCACCCATTCTCTAGAATATCTTCCATCCTCTACCCAAGTTTCGTCTGTCCATAAAACTGAGGTCCAATCTTCATGTGTCCAATTGAGATGAGCTTCGGCCAATTCTCTGCGTTTCTTCATAGTTTTCTGAGATACTGGAGGCTTTAGACGAGCCACATGTCGCTGATTTCCTCTTTTTTTGAAGTTTTGTTTGTATTACTTGCTCGCTAACACCAAGATGTCTAAAGGGGCCAGAGGCGAGTTCCTGAAATGTTTTGCGGCGATTTCCAGGTGAAGACTCAACGTAAAATATAATCTGATCAACATCATCTGCTTTCAGCCTTGAGGATGTTCTTTTTCTCTTTTTGGGGGATACAGTTCCGCGGCGCAGTGAATAGCTAACTTGTCCCCGAGAAATGCCTAGTTGCGCGGCAATCTGCGTCTGGTTTTTGCCAGATTCATGAAGCCCATAAATCTTAATTTTTCTTTTAATTTATTTTTGTTAATATCTAATTTTTCTACTGACTAAAATGTTTTGATCTCTGGATAATTGCTTGATTCGAGGTGTTGAAGGTGGGGTTTGAGGTGGATTCATCTGTGAAATAAGGTTATTATCGAGTAAAGCCATGTGTCTTCTGAATAAATAACTTTGTATTTGAGAAATCTAATTCTTATTATCACTTAAGCACAAGATAAGAAGAGCTGTGTAGATTTTGAGCGGTCGGTGGTCTTAAAAGTGATGGCAAACAACTAGAGAACAGGTTGGATTTGCATAAAACTGAGGGTGACATGAATTCAAATTGTGCCCCTGGTTTAGGCATTGAAATCCAGGACTAGAATTATGTACCCTGTCGAATTGGGCGCTGACAGGGGCTGAACCCCTGTAGAGAATATGCGCCCCATATAAATCCACTGAAAACTTGGAATCGTAGTACTACGGTACTTGATACGATGATGCTTCCGACTACATTCACAATGCCCATACCTACTCTGGGCTAATCACCTCTTATTATATGGGTCCTATCTTCTAAATATTGCCCTGTTCACTCTTTCATCTCAAATGAT